CCTTTCAGCCTCCCAAAGTGCTGGGATTATAGACTTGGGCCATCATGCCCAGATATATATATGTATATATTTTGATGTAGGCTTTTATTGATACAAACTTCCCCCTAAGAACTGTTCTTCCGTAGCCCCCGGTTTTGATATGTTGTATTTCCATTCTCATTTGTTTAAAAAAATTTTAATTTTCTTCTTAATTTCTTCATGGACTTATTGATCATCCAGGAGCATATTGTTTAATTTTTATTTATTTGTACAATTTTCAAGATTCTTCTATTATTGAGTTCTAGTTTTATTCCATTGTGATCAAAAGAGATACTTGATTTGATTTTCACTTTAAAAAATTTGTTCAGACTTGTTTTTTGTTCTAATGTTTGATCTATCCCGGAGAATGTTCTATGTGCTCATGAGAAGAGTGTGTATCCTGTAGCAGTTGAATGAAATGTTCTGTAAATGTCAGTTAGGTTCATTTGGTGTAGAGTGTAGTTTATTTCTGATGTTACTTTGCTGATTTTCTGTCTAAATGATCTGTCCATTGCTAAAAGTGGGGTGGCAAAATCCCCTGCTATTATCATCTTGCAGTCTATCTCTCTCTTTCAATCAACTAATATTTACTTTATATATTGTGTTCTCTGATATGGGTTGCATGTATATTTATTATTGTTATTTTCTTTTGCTGCATTGAGCCCTTTTTCACTATATAATGACCTTGTTTCTTTTTACAGTTTTTTTTTTTTTTGAGTTGGAGTCTCACTCTGTCGCCCAGACTGGAGTGCAGTGGCCGCTCCCGGCCACCGCAGCCTCAACCTGCTGGGCTTTGGCGATCCTTCTGCCTCAGCCTTCCAAATAGCCGGAATTACAGGCGCACACTACTACGCCCGGCTGATTTGTTTTTATTGTAGAGATGAGGTCTTGCTACCCAGGCGGGTCTCAAACCCACGGGCTCAGGCAATCCACTCACCTCAGCCTCCCAAAGGCGCGGGATTACAGACTGAGCCACCGAGCCCGGCTTCTTTTTACAGTTTTTGACATAATGTCTACTGTATCTGATATAAGGATAACTACTCTCATTCTTTTTTGGTGTCCATTTGCATAGAACAGCTTTTTCCATCTCTTCACTATCGGTTTGTGTGTCTTTTTTTTTTTTTGAGTTGGAGTCTCACTCTGTTGCTCAGGCTGGAGTACAGTGGCACACTCATGGCCACCATAGCCTGGACTTGCTGGGCTCAGTAATCCTTCCACTTCTGCCTTCCAAGTAGTTGGAACCACAGACATGCACCACCATGCCCAGCTAATTTTTTGAATTATTATAGAGACGAGGTCTCACCATGTTGCCCAGGCTGGTCTCAAATCTGTGAGCTGAGGCAATCCTCTTGTCTTGGCCTCCCAAAGTGCTGGGATTGCAGGCATGAGCCACCACACCCAGCCCATGTGTGTCTTTATAGGTGAAGTGAGTTTCTTGTAGGGAGCCTGCAGTTGGTCTTTTTATTTATCCATTCAGCCTCTTTATGTCTTTTAATTGGAGAATATAGTCCATTTACATTTTATATTATTGCTGGTAAGGACTTATTACTGACATTTTGTTACTTATTCTGTGGTTGTTTTGTAACTCCTCTCTTCTCTTCTCCCTTTATTATTGCCTTCCTTTGTGGTTTAGTGATTTTCTTGATAGTGTGTTTTAATTTCTTGCTTTTTATTTTTAGTATATCTATTTTAATAAGGTATTTTCTTTGTGGTTACTGAGATGCTTACAAACAATGTCTTATACATATAACAAGCTACTTTAAACTTACAACAACTTTGCATTCATCACAAAGAAAGCAACTAAATAATTGTACATTTTAACTCCATTCTCCCTACATTTTGACTTTTTGTTGTCTCTGTTTATAACGTAAACTTGTAAAAAATTTATCTTATTTTTCATTTCCATTTTTAGATATGGGGGTCTTACTCTGTTGCCCAGGCTGGAGTGCAGTGATGCCACCATAGCTCACTGCAGTCTTGAACTTCTGGGCTCACATAATCCTCCCATCTCAGCCTTCCAAGTAGCTAGTACTACAGGTGCATGCCATTATGCCTGGATAATTTTAAAGATTTAATTTTGAGCCCAGGCGCAGTGGCTCACGCCTATAATCCCCGCACTTTGGGAGGCCGAGGTGAGAGGATTTCCTGAGCCCACGGGTTTGAGACCAGCCTGGGCAACCTGGCGAGACTTCAGCTCCACAATAAATACCAAAAAAATTAGCAGGAGTGGTGATGCGTGCCTGTAGTTCCAGCTACTTGGAAGGCTGAGGTAGAAGGATTGCCTGAGCCTAGCAGGTTGAGGCTGCAGGGACTGTGAGCGTGCTACTGTTAATAATTAATTTTGGGATTTCACTATGTTTCCCAGGCTGTTCCTGAACTCCTGGGCTCCTCCCATGTCAGCCTCCTGAGTGGCTAGGTTACAGGTGTGGGTCATTGTGACGATTTGTATACTTTTATATTGCCTATCTCTTTAAAAATTGTTGTGGTTATTATTATTTTTGATAGATTTAGTTTTTTAGTCTTCAGACTAAAGGTATGAGTGGTTTACACACTACAGTTACAGTCTTAGAGTGTTCTGAATTTGTCTGTGAATTTACTTTTACCAGTGAGTTTTATACCTTCACGTGTTTACTTGTTGCACATTTGTGTTCTTTTCTTTCATTTTGAGGTGCTCCCTTTAGCATTCTTGTAAGACCCGGTCTATTGGTAATGAATTCCCTCAGCTTTTGTTTGTGAATATCTTTATCTCTCCTTCATGTCTGAAGGATGGCTTTGCTGGGTACAGTCTTCTTGCAGGTTTTTTTCCTTCAATACTTTGAATATGTCCTCCCACTGCCTCCTGATCTGTAAGATTTTCATTGAAAAATATGTGCCAAATGTATCAGAGTTTCTTTTTTTAACTTTTAATTTTTTTTATTTTAAAGATGAGGGGTACAATTCGGGGTTAGGTATACAAATGTTAATTATGCACGTAGGTACCCTTGTTAATGAGGTGTGCTCCCCGCCCCAGACAGACGCCCAGTACTGCCAATCTTGCTTCCTCACCCCCCTCCCGGCAATTTCCTGCTATTGTCAATCCTTCTCTTATAGTATTGCGATAATTGTTCAAGGTCCGCTTATGATATCAGAGTTTCTTTATGTTATTTGCTTTTTTCTCTCTTGCTGCTTTTGTCCTTGTCCCTTGAGAGTTTATTATATATCTCAGGGTAGTCTTATTTGGGTTGAATCTTCTTGTAATATTCAATATTCATATTCAATATTCAATATTCAAACTTCCTGTATAGATATTTGTATCTTTTACCAATTATGAATTTTTTTGATTTTTTTTTAAATGAATGTTCTACTCCTTTCTCATTTTCTACATTATCTTTTAGTCCAGTGACTCTTACATTTGCTGTTTTGATGCTATCCCAGAAATCTTATAGGCATTCTTCATTCCTTTTCATTCTTTTTTTTCATTTTCTCCTCTGACTCTGTACTTTCAAACAGCCTGTCTTCATGCTCACGGATTCTTTGTTTACTTGATCAGTTCCATTGTTGAGATCTTCTAATACATTTGTCACTTCATCCATTGTATTCTTCAGTGTCAGGATTTCTGTTTTTTAAAAATTATTTTCATCTGTTTGTTAAATTTCTCTATAAATTTCTGAATTGTTTCTCTATATTTTCTTGAATTTTATGAAGCTCCCCTAAGACAGCTATTTTGGATTCTTTGTCTGGCATTTTTTTATCATCTTCATATCTTCAGAGTCAGTCACTGGCGCCTTAATTTGTTTGTTTGGTGAGATCATATTTCTCGGATCCAAGAAATATGATCTCGCCAGACAAACACATTAAGGTGCCAGTGTGTCGATGTTTGTGTCTTTATGTAAGTACTTAATCCAGTCTTCCCAGGCTGGTTTTGTTTGGGATCTTCTTTCATCAATAAACCTAATTAAGGAGAGGATGACTGAGGAGGACCCTAAACCTGTGGCTGCTTCCGCCATTGCAGGACTGGGTGATGTGGTTGGGATCCTTTGGTCACTGAGGCTGACACAGCACTGGGTTCTGAGACCAGCACAGCACTGGGGCGTGTCCAAGGCCCACAGCTGCTGTAGCTTAGGTCCCAAGGCCACTGTAGTTGGCCCGTGCTGATGTGGGCTAGATCTTGAGTCCATCTCACCGGAATGTGGGTTCTTGTCTGGCACTAGGGTCAGTCGAGAGGTGCCTGTGGGTACTGACCTGTTGTCAGGGGTGGATGGTTCTGACCAGTACTTGGTTTGATCGGGTTCCAAGGCAAAGTCTGACACTTACTTCCCTCTTCCTCTTCCAAACAAACAGTATCTCTCTTCATGCTGTTCTTGGCAGAAGGGTGACACAGGCAATCCCATGGTGACCAAGGTTGACACAATATTGGGTCCCATCCAAAGCCCACTGGCATTGAGACCAGTCCAGCACCGGGCCATGCCTGTGGCCTACAGGGGCAGCATGCTACATCCTGCCTTCTGCTGAGTTTTACTGAAAGCCCAAGACTATTGTAGATGGCCTGCAGCGATGCACGCCAGAACATGAGTCTGTCCTGCCAGAATGCAGTTTCCCACTGGGTGCTGGGCAGGTCAAGAAGCTCCCTCCACAGGTACCAGCCTGATGTCAGCGACTGTGGGCTTCTGTCCAGTGCTGGGTTTTACTGAGGCATGCCCAGTGAAGTCCTATGCTCACTTCCCTCTCCTTCCTTAAGAGAATATCTATCATTAGAGTGTGGCACTCCATTCTGAGGAAGAATGAGTGGAAACATGTGGGACCGAGGGTAAGAGGATGTCTAGCCGAGGTGTCATTTCCAGCCTAGGGCTTTGTGAGTCCATCTCCCCAAACACTGATCATCCTCTGAGACTTGGCTCTTTGGAATCAGGACTGATTACATGAATATCTCCCCGCTTCTCTAATCCTTACCTACCTGCGTTGTATTTTCACAGAGATCCCATTTTGCCCGCCTCACGTGAGCTCTCCCTGCAAGTGAAGTCGCACAGCCCTGAACACGGGCCAGGCAGCCTTGGCCTGGGAATTTTGGAGCGATCACTGATGGGAAAAGTGTTTGCGATCCTGGGGAAAACCAGCCAATCAATTCTGGCTGAGTCTCAGGAGTTCCCAGAAGAGCCTGTTGAGAAGAAGGAAGAGAACAGCATCATGAAGAAGAAGGGACGGCAGCTCAGAGTGCAACTCGGTGCCTGGAACTACCCTCATGGTCATTAGAATCCCTCCTGCTTTTCTCTTCTTGGCTTCATATAAATGCTCTGCTCTCCCGCTATGCCTTGAAGCAATTGAGCTTCCTGATCGATTGTGCCTCTGTTTCCGTGCCTTTGTTTTTATTTTTTGAAGTTTTTCCTGTAGAGACAGGGTCTTGCTATGTAGTCCAGGCTGGTCTTCAACTCCTGGCCTCAAGTGATCCTTTCCGCTTGGCCTTATAGAAGTGCTGGGATTACAGGCATGAGCCACTGTGCCTGGTCAGTTTCTGCATCTTTAACCCATTTCCCATTTAGGAAAAAAAAAAAGTCCAGCTCACTGCTGTGTTCATTTAATCCTATATAAACACGCTCTTTGAGGCTAAAGAAAATCTGACTGGGTTTCAGTGTGAAAATAAAATATAAAAATTTGTTGTTGTTGTTTGTTTTTTTTTTTTGAGTTGGAGTCTCACTCTGTCGCCCAGACTGGAGTGCAGTGGCGGCTCCCGGCCACCGCAGCCTTGACCTGCTGGGCTCCAGCGATCCTTCCGCCTCAGCCTTCTAAATAGCTGGAGCTACAGGCGCACGCTACCACGCCCGGCTGATTTTTTATTTATTGTAGAGATGAGGTCTCGCCAAGTTGCCCAGACGGGTCTCGAACCCGCGGGCTCAGGCAATCCACTCACCTCAGCCTCCCAAAGGCGCGGAATTACAGGCTGAGCCACCGAGCCCAGCTAAAATATAAAAATTATTCTTGGAGTGATCTCTAAACAGAACTTCTCGTTAATCCTAATGAGAATCACTAAAAAAAAAAAATTATTATTGCTTGTAAACGGAAATACCACTAAAAATAGAATGCTAGAAACAGAATGATGTCATTTGTTTCCAAAGACTATCGATATACTAGAATGATGCGAAAATCATAATAAAAGCAAGATATTTCGTGTGGCAAACTTTGGGGGTAAGGTGAGTTATCTCGGGGTAAATGCTATAGCAGCAAGCGCCACCAGCGAGTATTCTCAGGACAAACGGTCAAGGGTTTAAAACAGGGATAATAATAGTTCCAGGGATGTAGACCTGTTGCAAGGATTAGATAGGATAATCTGTGTCAACCACCTTAAACCAATGCTTGGTGTATTTAGAACCCCATGTTAGTTTTTGTCTTTCCAGGTACCAGTCTGGAAGCAGTGTGCTCCTGCTGACTTGGGAACAGAAATCTGTATTCATCTGCTATCCCCAGATTGTTACTTTATTTATTTATTTATTTTTAATTTTGAAGATGTGGGGTAGAATTCAGGGTTAGGTAGACAAATGGTCATTATGCAGATACCCTTATTGATGAGGTGTGGCGACTCCCTCCCCTGGCAGTTTCCCACCACTGCCAGTCCTGCCCGCTCCTCACCTCCAGATTGTTACTTTCTTACTGTCCTGTCTTGTATACGCCACAACCGTTTCCCCAGGAATTCTGAGGTTAGTGGTCCTCCCTTCCTCTTAAATGCTCATCTTGTGGGATCCGCTGAGCCTAAGGCCGGACTGGACAAAGAGAGGTTGGATACTGGAGGTGCAGAGAAAAGTTATCTTTTGTTTTTCTCATATTTTTGTAAACTCCTTCTGGCTTTCAGCCTCCCAGGACGAGTTTAGATTAGACGGATCTTCCCCAAAGCTGTCTTTGAATTTCCTTTATCCCTGTGATGGGGACCGGGCACGGGCCTCTGCACTGGAATCTGACATCAATGAACTGGGCAGAGCCCCCTAGCTGCCCATTCTGATCAGCTCTGTGGAGAATAATTTGAGAAAGAGGAACCCATAATTCTTCCAGTTATGTTTTCTGTAATGTTTCTTTCTTTTCCTTTTCTCTTCCAAGTATTGCTTGTACTACTCGTTTGGCAATGAATAATATCCCTTTCTTTGGGGTGACATTTCTTATTTCCTAAGAGACTCTTACTTTTCTTGTTGTTTCACTTTTTAAAGGTTCATGCTTGATATTTCTTCTTTAATTTGTTTGCAAGCTTCCTGGTGAATTCTTTGAGAGTACTTTACAGGATTTTATGTTCTTAGTAGATTCTAGAAGAAGCATTTATTTTTGTGAACTCCCTTAACTAGACCTTGTCCACAGTATTTTTTTTTTCTCTCTTCCTTTTAAAGGCCTAGTTGGTTTATACAACATTGGACAGACTTGCTGTCTTAACTCCCTGATTCATGTATTCATAATGAATGTGGACTTCACCAAGATACTGAAGAGGTAAGACTGTTACTCAGGTTGAAAAGCCTGTGTATTATCTTATGTTTTAGACGATTCAGTTATTCACAGTGACTTGGACTTTTAGAGGTCTGCTTTCAAAAGTTGCCAGAGAATATTATCTTTACCTCCATGTTCTGGACTATACATCAGAATCACCTAAGAAGTTTTAAAGACATAAATGCCTGGCTCCACCCCCAGTTATTTGGTTTCAGTTGGTCTGGAGTGGGGACCAGGCATTGGTACTTCTTAAAAGACTTCTTGGGTGACTTTTTTATTATTTTATTTTTAGATTCAAGCGGCACAGGTGAGGTTTGGGCTTCTATTAAGGACATCATCCAAATGGTGTGCATGGTATGCTTGGGTGATTTTAAAGTGCAGCCAGGATTGAAAGCCACTGATTTGGTTAAAAGGAAGAGGTGAGACTAGACCAATGTCAGAGAAGGAGCAAGGCTGTGGGCCCCAATACACACACACACACACACACACACACACACACACACACACACACACACTCTCTCTCTCTCTCTCTCTCTCTTTTTTCATTTTCTTCTTTTTGACTTAGGGGTCTTACTCTGTCTCCCAGGCTGGAGGACAGTGGCACGATCATAGCTTACCAAGCGCAGCCTCAACCCTCTAGGCCCAGGTGATCCTCCTGCCTCAGCCTCCTGAGTAGCTGGGACTATAGGCACATGCCACCACACCCAGCTACTTTTTTTTTTTTTTTTTTTGGAGTGGGAGTCTCACTGTCACCCAAACTGGAGTGCAGTGGCCGCTCCCGGCCACCGCAGCCTCTACCTGCTGGGCTCCAGCGATCCTTCCGCCTCAGCCTTCCAAGTAGCTGGAACTACAGGCATGCGCTACCATGCCCGGCTAATTTTTTGATTTATTGTAGAGATGAGGTCTCGCCAAGTTGCCCAGGCGGGTCTTGAATCCACGGGCTCAGGCAATCCACTCACCTCAGCCTCCCAAAGGCACGGGATTACAGGCTGAGCCACCGAGCCTGGCTAATTTTTTTTTATTTCTGTAGAGACAAAATCTTACTATGTTGCCCAGGCTGGTCTCGAACCCCTGGGCTCAAGCAGTCCTCCCATTTGGCGTACCCAAAGTGCTGGGATGACAGGCATGAGCCACCACACCCAGCCTGCACTCTCTTTTTAAAAACTTTCAAGAGCTTTTTGGGGTACAAATGGTTTTTGGCTACATGGAGGCATTGTTTGGTGGGAATGAAGTCTGTGTTTTCAGTGTCTCCGTCACCCCCACTAGTGCGCACGGGACACTCTTTATCCCTCATTCTTTTCTGTCCTGTGCATTCTTCTTTTTCCCATCCATTGACCTCAGCAATTGAGAAATGCCTATAACTAAATGAATCATTGCCAAATACACTGACCTCCCTTGCCCTTTCTTCCAGTGTTTGCTTTTTCGGTGCTTGGGGCTGGACATTTCGCTGCTTGCCCTCAATGTAGGTCCAGGACTGGTGCCCCTGCCCCTCGTTCTGGTGTGATTGTTAAGCAGGGTGGGTGGGAAGGGAGGCGGCCGTTGTGCTGATCCCTCTCTGGATACTATGACCAGCTGATGGACTAACTTGATGGCTGTCAACCTTGACTGCACATTTTAAACATCTGGGAGAATTTTAAAAATCCGATGACTGGGCTCTGTCCCCAGAGTTCTGATCTAGTTTGTATGGGGCGTGGCCTGGATATGGAGATTTAAAAAAATTCTCTGAGGCCAGGCATGGTGGCTCACACCTTTAAGCCTAGCACTTGGGGAGGCTGACGTGGGAATGGGGGATTGCCTGAAGCCCCGGAGTTTGAGACCAGCCTGGGCAATATAGTGAGATCCCCATCTCTATAAAAATAAATAAATGTATTTATTTTTTGAGTTGATGTCTCACTCTGTCACCCAGGCTGGAGTGCAGTGGCACGCTCAGGGCCACCAAAGCCTCGACCCACTGGGCTCAGGTGGTCCTTCTGCCTCAGCCTTCCAAGTAGCTGGAACCACAGGCATGCCTCACCATGCCCAGCTAATTTTTTGATTTATTGTAGAGACGAGGTCTCATCAAGTTGCCCAGGCTGGTTTCAAACACCTGGGCTCAGGCAATCCTCTCACCTTGGCCTCCCAAAGTGCTGGGATGACAGGTGTGAGCCACCGCACCCAGCTAAAAATTAATTTAAAAAAATTAGAGGGCATGGTGGCACACACCTGTAGTCCCAGCTACTTGGTGAGCTATGATTGTGTCACTTCACTCCAGTCTGGATGACAGAGTGAGACCTCCCACACACATGCTCAAAATACGGAAAAAAATTCCCTGAGTAATTCCAATGTGCACCTAGCTTTGAGAGCTCTGTGGTTGTAAGGAGGTTTCTGGCTGTTCTTTGGCAGGATAACGGTGCCCAGGAGGGTCGAAGAGCAGAGGAGAAATGTCCCTTTCCAGCTGCTTTTGCTGCTGGAGAAGATGCAAGACAGCCGACAGAAAGCAGTGCGGCCCTTGGAGCTCGCCTACTGTCTCCAGAAGTACAACGTGCCTTGTAAGACAGCCCTCCCAGCTCTAGCTCCTGCCCACGGGTCTCAAGGGGGTGGCAGCCTGGGAGAGAGTAAAGAGAGGGACTGATGGACGGGGACTTAGCACGAAGCAGGTTAGGCAGACACTGGTCCCCTTGAGTCAGAGGCCCATGTGTAGACCTGAAGTGTTTTAAAGAGCCACGCATTTGTACACATGCAGAATTGAAGGACGCATTAGTTTGTTTGGGGTTTTTTTGAGTTGGAGTCTCACTCTGTCACCCAGGCTGGAGGGTAGTGGCATGCTCATGGCCACCGCAACCTGGACCCGCCGGGCTCCGGCGATCCCTCCGCCTCAGCCTTCCAAGTAGTTGGAACTACAGGTGCACGCCGCCACACCCGGCTAATTTTTGATTTATTATAGAGATAAGGTCTCGCCAAGTTGCCCAGGTGGGTCTTGAACCCGCGGGCTCAGACAATCCACTCACCTCGGCCTCCCAAAGTGCTGGGATTACAGGCTGAGTCATCGAGCCTGGCCAGACATATGACTTTAATACTCACCCCTGTTCTGTCTCTCAGTAGGGTAAGTAAGGTGAGGGGTCTCCTCAAAGCTTTTTCAGCCATTGGTAAGGAATCCTAGTGTTACGGTCGGAGTAACAGTCGGCTGCTCCCCTTGAGACCAATAAATCAAAGGGACAGGGAACTGGTAGAAAGAAGTTTATTTCTGAATTTGAATCTAAGGAGCAGAGCCGGACTCGAGGTCTTCCTAAAATGGTTTGGTGCACCCTGCGTGCTTTGAAGTCCACTTTTATAGTTCAGAGTTGTAGGTATCCATACATTAGCCGCATGACCAGCAGAGCGTTGCATTGGACTTAAGTTCAGCTGCATTTTACATTTTTTTTTGAGTTGGAGTCTCACTCTGTCGCCCAGACTGGAGTGCAGTGGCACGCTCCCGGCCACCGCAGCCTTGACCCGCTGGGCTCTGGTGATCCTTCCACCTCAGCCTTCCAAGTAGCTGGAACTACAGGTGTGTGCTACCACACCCGACTAAATTTTGATTTATTGTAGAGATTGAGGTCTCGCCAGATTGCCCAGGTGGGTCTCGAACCCACGGGCTCAGGCAATCCACTCTCCTTGGCCTCCCAAAGTGCTGGGATTACAGGCTGAGCCACCGAGCCCAGCCTGCATTTTACATTTAGACAGTGATATTTAGAGTGAAGGAAGTTTAAGGCCTAAGATATCATGTGTTGCAAAAGTTATGCAAATCATAAGACTTGCTTATGATTACACCGATACTATATACTTCCAAGAAAGGGAGTCAGTAGGGGCTTACATCTTTGGGTGTAGTCTGTTGGGAAGTCAGGGATCCCCTGAAGCTACTTACTGGGGGTGCATAGAAGACAAGGGAACTCTCAGTTATGTGCTCAGGAATATGCAGAAGCTCTTGAATTCCCGCCATGCCGTTCTCTAGGGGCTGTGGCAACATGGACGGACATCAGCGGGTCTTTTTATCACTAGGAAAACAGAACAAAGGAATAAAAAGGAAAAACCAGGCCAGGCCTGGTGGCTCATACCTGTAGTCAAGTACTTTGGGAGACCGACAGGGGAGGACCATTTAAGCCCAGGAGCTTGAGAACAGCCTGGGCAACATAGCGAGACACTGTCTCTCCAAAAAAAAAAAAAAGTTAAAAAAAATTAGCCAGAGCCGGGCTCAGTGGCTCAACCTGTAATCCTGAGCTTTGGGAGGCTGAGGTGAGTGAATTGCCTGAGCCTGCGGGTTCGAGACTCACTTGGGCAACTTGGCGAGACCTCATCTCTACAATAAATCAAAAAATGAACCGGGCGTGGTAG